GGCGTCGCTGATGCTCTCTCGACATGGGCACCTGTGCCTTCTTCATGTCTCCTCTGCAGCTCGTCTCGCGCTTGCGCTGCTCGGCGCTCTGAGCTCGTCCTGGGTCATGGTGACGAAGCGGTCGGCGGTGATCTTGCCGTCCATGATGTTGCGGCCGAGCTCGCGGTTCGTCTTGACCTTGAGATTGGAGAAGAGGGACTTTATCTTCTTCTTGTAGTCGTCGGTGACACCCTTGTAGTGACGGTAGGCGGCGGCCTCGCACTCGACGGCGCGGGCGACGACGGCGTCGGGGGGCTGGGTGCTGCGGTAGGCGAGGCCATTGTAGAGGAGGCCGAGGCAGTTGTCGCGGGTCGTGTCGCCGGTGCGCTTGATGCTGACGCCGTCCTTGTTGAAGTGGCGCGTCTCCGTGTCGCCCTTGAAGGGGGCGTCGGCGGCTGAGGCGGGCGCGGGCGAGGCGGAGGAGCCGGAGGGTTTGGAGGCGGCGGGGGGTGTCGGGGAGGCGGCGGTGGCGGGCGAGGACTGCTTCAGCTTTTGCATGCGCGAGGCCTTCTCGGCCTCGACGAGCTTCTTCCATTTAGTGACGAGCTCGGTGGCGATGCGCGCAATGTCCTTGTTCGAGTTATGGCGCAGCTTGCCGACGAAGACGCCTGCGCGGGTGGACTGGGGAGGGCATGTGTCAGTAGGCAGGTGTCAAAGAGGCAGGTCGCTGGCCGCAGCGTGTACTCACGCGCAGCATCTCTTCGGTGGGTGAGGCCTCTTTCTTGAGGCGCTCGAGAATGGACAGCGCATTCGAGGGCGGCTCGTTGGCAGCGACGGTTTTCTGCAGCTGCTTGATGCTGGAATCAAGCTCGCGTTGGTCCATCATTGTGGGCAGCGATCCAAAGGCGAAGGAGTTGGGCAGTCGGGTGGTCGGTCAGGCAGTCGGGACGTCGGGTCAAGATGAACCAAGTCGCAAGGGTAATTGAAGACGAGCTGTCAAGCGAGTGTGTATGTGCGTGTGCGAATGCAATGATCGCAGGTCGGATTGTTCAAGCACCGTCGGTTGATTGACGAGGCGAAGAAAAAGGTGGGACTTACTTTTCAGGCTTCTGGTGGTAGTTCGTCTGTTCGTTTGGTCGACGTTGGTGCAGGTGCTGGTGCGGGTGTCGCTGCTGGTGCTGGTGCAGGCAGGGGCAGGGGCCGGATCCGGTAGGATATTGTGCCGGGGGGAGCATTTGGGGGGGGGCAATGGGGGACCAGTTTAGGGAAGCATTAGGGGAGGATTTGGCGGGGGAAAGAACAGAGAGAGGGTGGGTGTGCCCTGTGATCGACAGAGGGGGTGCCCTTAGGTGCGAGGAAGGAGCTACGTGAGTACATGTACAGAGGTGAGTACCTACCTGAGCAAGACAGGAACGGCACCAGGTCACCTGCCCTGCGTGCCTATCACCGCTGGACCCTGCCAGGGGCGGGAGCCTATCTCCCCACGGGTCCCAGACCGCTTAAGACCCCCCTTCAAGACCCCCCGAGGTACCTATGACGCCAGAGCCGTTGCAGCTCAACAACATTCACCATCTCCATCTCCAATCTCGCTCTCGAGCCTTGGTCGACGCTTGACTCGATTCACATCTCTCGCTGCTCCTACTCCTGCTTCTGCCTGGCCCACCAACATCCAATACATCTTGACGGCAACCACATGAGTCACAGCCAAGCTCTACCTTGACCTATTGCTTCCTACCCACACGGGCACACAACACTTCATATCGTAGTTGCACTTCCATCGATTCGCCACCACACCAAGACATATAGACGCTCCTCTCTCAACTCCTGTTGCACGTCTCTCAATTCGCATCGCACCGTACCTCTCTTCCTCGGTGCCTCTTTCTACAGAGGCATCTCGCAGGCTCCGAGCCGCCGACCCAGCCATGCCCTTGAGGCGAGAACCCTCTCGGGAGCACGAGCTGCCTGTCGAAAGCTCCTGGCGCATGGTCGAAGGCGGCGAGAACGACAGTTTCGACACGTCCATCGTCCCCGAGCTTGACTTTGAAGACGACATTCCCCTGTCGAGCGGGCCCTCCCAGGGCAACTTCAGCCTCGCCTCCCAGGACAGCGCCCACAGCATCAGCGACTTTGTCGACAGGGCCGACGATGAGCGCGTCATCCTGCGCACGCCCTTTCGCCCTTCGATCCCCACGACGCGCCAGCCATCCAACGATGTTCACCGCACGCCTGAGCCCGAGTTTTACATGCCTTCCATCCACATGGAGAGTCCGAGCCAAGGCCGCAGCAGCAGCGGCCGCTCTTCGAGGACAATCCGGCCCACCATGGACGAGAAGGAGAGGATCGCCATGCGCCTGAGGAACCAGAGGCAGCAGTCGGGCTACGGTAGCCTCCTGCGGAAACGCAACAACAATAGCAGCAGCAGCAACGATGCGAGGTTCGGTGGAAGAGAGGCCCAGCGCCAGCCAACAGACCGCCAACAGCAGACGGTCGGTCGTCGCGTCATGGACTCGGCGCCGCACGCCCTCCTCGACGTGCTCGCCTGGGTAGCGGACATTGTCGGCATGGCGCTGCGCATGCTCAAGCTTCCCCTGGCCATGATGTTCGCCGTCTGGCTCATGATCGGCGCCACCATCATCCTGCGCAACATGGTCACCCAGTCCATCACGACGTCGCTCTCGCCCATCTGCAAGATCCCCGGCGTCGGCGCCCTCAGCCTGCCTTTCTGCCCGCAGTTTGGCGTCACGCCCGCCGGCTCCGACGAGCAGCTGTCGGCGCCGGGCGGCCAGAGCGTCGAGTTTGACGACCTTCATGAACGTCCAGGCGAGCTTCGAGCAGGTGCTCGAGCGCAGCGCCGACGGCGTCTCGCTGCCCATGGAGATGAAGCGCTCCGAGTCGTCGATCCGCGATCTGCGCACCATGGTTCGCTACTCGGAGCTTGCC